CTCGTGCCTCTTCCTTCTCCTCGTGACCCGCCTCCTCGTCACCCTCTCTTCCTTGAGAGCTGTGTCGCTCCAGATGCGCCCCGAGACCGCCTACGTAATGAAATGTTCATGACGTCGTCCCCCAGAGGTCCCGACGCCTTCCCTGGCACTGGTTCTTGTCCCAACCCTCCTTGGTTGGGTTCGTGTTGAATAGAGCACCTCGGTCGCGTCTCCCTCCTCCTCCCCTTCCTCCTCTCCTCCTCCTCCTCCTCCTCCTCCTCCTCCTCCTCCTCCTCCTCCTCCTCCTCCTCCTCCTCCTCCTCCTCCTCCTCCCGCCTCCTCCCGCCTCCCGTGTCTCTCTCTATTCCCCTCTCGCCTCGTGCGCATCTCTTGGGTATGCATGTCGTCTGCGGTACCGGTCTCCGATCTCGCCGTCCCTGGGGGGCTGCGATCTGCGACACTGTCGCCACTTTCGAGGGCTGCTGGTGGGTCCAGCGGGGGGAGGCACCGCGCAGATCTGAGCGGAAGCTCGCCGTCCCTGGGGGGTGCGATCTGCGAAACTGTCGACACTTTCGAAGGCGGCTGGTGCGTCCAGCGGAGAAAGAACCGCGCAAATCTTAGCGGTAGCTCGCCGTGCCTGGGGGCTGCGACCTGCGAAATTGTCGCCACTTTCGAAGGCTGGTGGTGGGTCCTGCGGAGTGAGGCACCGCGCAAATCTGAGCGGTAGCTCGCCGTCCCTGGGGGCTGCGATATGCGAAATTGTCGCCACACTCGAGGGCTGTTGGTGGGTCCAGCGGAGAAAGGAGACGCGCAGATCTTAGCGGTAGCTCGCCGTCCCTGGGGGCTGCGACCTGCGAAATTGTCGCCACTCTTGAGGGCTTCTAGACGGTCCAGCGGAGTGAGGCACCGCGCAGATCTGAGCGGCAGCTCGCCGTCCCTGGGGGCTGCGATCTGCGCGACACAGTCGCCCCTGTCGGGGGCTGCTGGTGGGTCCAGCGGAGTGAGGCACCGCGCGGACCTGAGCGGGACCTCGCCGTCCCTGGGGGGCTGCGATCTGCGAAACTGTCGCCACTTTCGATGGCTGCTGGTGGGTCCAGCGGAGTGAGGCACTGCGCAGATCTGAGCGGTAGCTCGCCGTCCCTGGGGGGCTGCGATCTGCGAAACTGTCGCCACTTTCGAGGGCTGCTGGTGGGTCCAGCGGAGGGAGGCACCGCGCAGATTTGAGCGGTCGCTCGCCGTCCCTGGGGGGCTGCGATCTGCGAAGCTGTCGCCACTTTCGAAGGCTGCTGGTGGGTCCAGCGCAGTGAGGCACCACGCAGATTTGAGCGGTACCTCGCCGTCCCTGGGGGGCTGCGATCTGCGAAACTGTCGCCACTTTCGTCGATGGCTGCTGGTGGGTCCAGCGGAGTGGGGGGCCGCACAGATCTGATTGGTAGCTCGCGGGGGCTGCGATCTGCGAAACCGTCGCCACTTTCGAGGGCTGCTGGTGGGTCCTGCGGAGCGAGGCACCGCGGGGATCTGAGCGGGACCTCGCCGTCCTTGAACTTTCGAGGGCTGCTGGTGGGTCCAACGGAGTAAGGCACCGCGCGGACCTGAGCGGTAGCTCGCCGTCCCTGGGGGGCTGCGATCTGCAAAACTGTCGCTACTTTCGATCGCTGCTGGTGGGTCCAGCGGAGTGAGGCACCGCGCAGATCTGAGCGGGTCCTCGCCGTCCCTGGGGGGCTGCGATCTGCGAAACTGTCGCCACTTTCGAGGGCTGCTGGTGGGTCCAGCGCAGTGAGGCACCGCAGCGGTAGCTCGCCGTGGGGGGCTGCGATCTGCGAAACTGTTGCCACGTTCGAGGGCTGCTGGTGGGTCCAGCGGAGTGAGGCTCCGCGCAGATCTCAGCGGTAGCTCGCCGTGGGGGGCTGCGATCTGCGAAACCGTCGCCACGTTCGAGGGCTGCTGGTGGGTCCAGCGGAGTGAGGCACCGCGCGGACCTGAGCGGATCCTCGCCGTCCCTGGGTGGCTGCGATCTGCGCGACACTGTCGCCACTTTCGAGGGCTGTTGGTGGGTCCGGCGGAGAAAGGAACCGCGCAGATCTTAGTGGTAGCTCGCCGTCCCTGGGGGGCTGCGATCTGCGAATTTGTCGCCACTTTCGTGGGCTGATTCGGGGGGCAGCATAGCGATCTGTGAAACTGTCGCCACGTTCGAGGGCTGCTGGTGCGTCCAGCGGAGTGAGACACCGCGCAGATCTGAGCGGGACCTCGCCATCCCTGGGGGGCTGCGATCTGCGAAACTGTCGCCACGTTCGAGGGCTGCTGGTGCGTCCAGCGGAGTGAGGCACCGCGCAGATCTGAGAGGGACCTCGCCGTCCCTGGGGGGCTGCGATCTGCGAAACCGTCGCTACTTTTGAGGGCTGCTGGTGGGTCCAGCGGAGTGAGGCACCACGCAGATCTGAGCGGGACCTCGCCGTCCCTGAGGGGCTGCGAGCCTCACGAATGCCGCTCGCAGAAATGTATGCGCCCATGTCACGTCATCACCTCCGTATAACGTCTCCCAAGCTACTCATGCCCCGCATTGCGCAGGGGTTGGGTACATCGCCAGGGTAATCATCCTGAATCGTTTCGTTGACGCTCCCAAGGCCCGGTAAGCGGCACCGAGAGACCGAAAATGGTACAGAACCTCCCATCGAGATTTGTTCTCGGACCCGAGGGGCTGTGCAGCTCACATCCATCACAACCACTGTATAATGCATGCTGCTGGCTGCAAAAGAAAGGGGGCGACTGTCTCGGGTACGTACAGGCGGGCGCTGAAAGACTCCTTGAGGCAGGGGGGGAGAGGGAGGGAGGGAGGGAGGGAGGGAGGGAGGAAGGGAGAGAGAGAGAGAGAGAGAGAGACAGAGACAGCAGATAGAGAGAGAGAGAGAGAGCGAGAGAGAGCGAGAGAGAGAGAGAGCGAGAGAGAGCGAAAGAGAGCGAGAAGAAGAGAGTGAGAGAGGGAGAGAGCAGAGGGAGGGAGAGGGCAGAGATAGAGAGAGAGAGAGATTGCAGAGAGAGAGAGAGCAAAGAGAGAGAGAGAGAGAGAGTGGAAGAGACACGCAGGTGTACACACACACGGCACGTGAGAGCAGGACAATATGCACACACGGAGGCTGCGACAGGAACCGGCCCCAGACATACTCAGACCCTGACCCACACACGCCGCATACGAGAGGACGCCGCCGCACGGCCCGCCCCCCCAGGGCACGGCAAGGAGCCCGCCGCCCCTTGCCATCGCTCGGACGTCCATTCCCCGTGCACCTTTCAATTGCGTGCGCACCTTGTTTGCTGGATGATCGAGGATGATGCACACATCCGAGTAATGCCAAAGCCCTGCCCTTGGCACGATGCGGCCCCGACGCACCCCTCGCAGGAGCCCGCGTGCCGGCCCTCCCAGACAGTGGCCACCGCGCGCGCGAAAGCACGGCCGGCCTCTCTGCCGTGACGACGCGGCACCCGCAGGCCCTTCGGCCCCAAGCCAGGCGCCGGCGCCGTGCAAAAGCCGCTGCCGACTGCCGAGGCCGCGCGGCGCGGAGGCGCCGAGGTGCCGTGCTCAGCGTCGCCGCGGAGGTCTGGGCCCGGCGGAGAAGACGAAGCCACGACGAGGGTGACATCGGGCGAGGACAAATCGGGAATCTCCCAGATCCCGCAGCTCTGGAGGATGTCTCGGGCGCCGCTGCCTTCTCAGAGCGTTCTGGAACGTTCTGAGAGCGTTCCAGAACGCTCTGGAACGGATTTACCCGAAGTCGGGCGTGTCCTCTACAGGAGGAACATTCGAGAATAGTCAAAAAATAGTCTGGGGAAGATTTTTCGTGCCTGTTTGGCTATTTGGGGTTATTTGTTGACTCATGTTGATGAGTCTTCCAAAATTTGCCTGTAGGAGGACATGCCCGACCTGAATGTACGCTCGTCCTAGCCCCGCCCGACTGGGCCCAGCTTCATAGCCTGAGGACCAGCCTCGGCAGCCCTGGGTTGGCGAGACCGGCCCACGCACCCCTTCTGAGGGGAGAGCCAGAACGACTGCAATTCTGATGGGCTACATGTCCACCACCACTTGCCATATCTAGGACGGGGAACCTCCTCCTCCTCCTCCTCCTCCTCCTCCTCCTCCTCCTCCTCCCTCTCCTACCTTTGGTAATGGTGGAACATCGGCCCACCAAATTCGAGCATGGGGCCACCAAGTCACGCTGCGAGCACTCCGTGGGCGCGCCCGGCACTTGAATCAAGAATGCCACGGAACACGCCAGGGGGGAGAACCCAACACGCGGTGGCTCAAGGCGCGCGCTAGCGTCGAACGTGCTGAAGAGTCGCATCGGGCCTTCGGGGCACCAGGCGCTCCTGAGCGACCTCTGCCACCCGAGGGCTGGGGTCGCTCAAGACTTTCCGCTTCAGGCCCTTTCCGAGAGACGCACTGCCATGGACATGCGACACGGGCCGCTAAGCACAGGACACAAGGGCACCCTCGACTTGGCAGGGGGCACCCACTGATCAAACTCCACTGCAGGAGTCCCCTCAGCCCCGAGCGCCGCCGCACCTGCTGCGCCAACGGGGCGCGAGCCTGCCGTGCACACGAGCAGGTGCGGGTGACGAGGGCGCAGCGCTCGGAACGCGGGCGGGCGCTGGTGAGAATCCCTCGGCAACGGCGGCGCTCGGAAGGAACCGGGCGCGGGGCCCCCGAATCTGGCCGATGCCGGTGCTCTCCCTGCCTTCCCCACCCCACCCCCCAGGAACGCCGACTCCAGCTCTCCGATGGCCACGGAGCTCGGTCGAGATTCCCAGGGGCGCTGGCGTCCAGGCATCGTGCTCCTGGTCCTCCCGGCGTGGCAGTGTGAACCTTTCTGGGTGTAGCTGGGGTCGACGGCAGCGGCGGTGCTCAACTTCATTTGGCAATCTGCCATGCCCCACTCGGACGAAACGTGCCGGTACGGATGGGTGCGTGTGCAATCGAGCGTGCTCCTACGCACGAGCTCGGACGAACGAGGACTTCATCCTTCTCACGCTCAACTGCTGCTGGCGTTGCCGACCGCGCCAGAGCAACGGTGGTCGACGCCCACAGCCCAGCTTGTACTGCGACGCGTCCTTGCCTCAAGCTTGGACTGTGTACCCAGGAAGCATGAAAACCAAGACCGATCGCATAGATCATCATGTTGTGGATGTGGCTCCTGTCGGCAGAAGCACAACAGCTAGGGTCGAACGGCCGCAAGCTGTAAGGCAGAAGGGCCGAAATAACCTAGATGAAGACGAACCGGGTGACGGCGGCGCAGTATGGAGAGGAGGACAGACGACCACTAAAGTACAAACCGCACAAACAATTAAGAAACAATCAGGGCTATGCGACCGATGACCTCGCTTCCCAGAATAAGCGAAACCAAACAAACGTAGCAATCAATGAACATCTCCTATCTCGTTCAAACTGCGCTCGGGCTGCATTCTGGGCTGCCGTTATCCCACGGTTCTTTCCACTGAGTTCAACGCTTACCACTACAACTACCTTCGTTCATCTGTAAGAAGTTCCCTGGTAGTTTTGTACAGTTGTTTAACTCGGCGTGTTGGAAATCATGTGTTTGACGCTTTCAGGTCCCGGCGAAAAAAACTAAACACGCTAACAACACTATTTTTGGTGCGTTTTCAGATTCGGGAAGACAAGGAGTTAAGGAGCAGCCTTCGACAGTAAACCAAAACACGCTAAAACAAATCTGATCCACAGCGACGGGCCAGACAACGCAAAAGCAAAACAAACGTTTTAAACGCTAGAGCATCGTGGCGTTTGTTTAGCGTTCTCAGCATGTCAGGAGACCAACGTACAACACGTTCCTTCTGCAATAAAAGATACAAGAAAAAGACGCCCAGGGCGTCATTAGTATAAATCAGCCACTACCACTATCACTATGGCTGCGACCACTGCCAACACAGCCAGTCCTCCAACAACTACCTGGTGCCACCTCCAATACCACTAATCACGACCGATGCAGCTACCACTACCTACAATCACAATTGCAATTGCAGCTACCACTTCCACTACCAGCTTGGTCGCCACTTGTAGCACCACCACCTCTACGACCACCAGTACACGTACCCATGTGGGTACCAATGCTGGTATCGCCTCTGGTACCAGAACCAATGTCATTGCCAGCGCCAGTGCCAGTGGTCGTGCAACTGCCACACGCAAAACTAGTGTCAGTGCCAGTGTCATCGATAAAGCTGGTGCTCGTGCTACGGCCAAGGCTTCTACAGAAGTTCGCATCGGATACTACTCACAGATCCTACTGGCACCGCCGCGCCGACTACCACCAATGCTGCTGTTAGCTGTTGTTGCTCACCCATCCTATATTTGGGAGGGAGATGTCTGGAACGCGCCCCGTCCCAAGGCACCCAATCGGACAGGGGATCGCTGACCATCCACTGTGAAGCCCTTCTGCTGGACTTTCGCAGGTCGTGTCACGAGTCCACTCGCGGAATGATGTTCTGTCCCTCGAGGTTTGCTGTCGGACATGGCGGGCGTCGGCTAATGCAAACGGCCGGGAGAAGAAGAAGAAGAAGGTGAAGAAGGAGAGAAGACTGAGAAGACGTTTTCGTGCTTGCCCTTGGGGTGCACTGGGGGCGTGACTGAGAGGCCCACACGTCCCATGAACGTGTCAAGTCCCACCAGCCCTTCGGCGCGCAGGTGGCCTAACGAATTCGCTTTTCAAACCCAGTCTTCCCCGTCGGGGAGGAAGGAGTCTACCCCTCGCCATACCATCCCCTGAGTCTGGACGAGGCGCGTCGGAACGCGTTAGAGGGCCCAAGATGGCCCACGATGGCATCCAAGATGATTCAAGATCGGTCTGGTTGCTCAACATAACCTCCAATACTCATCCAAGGCAGCTCCAAGTGACCTCGGAACCTCCCAAGGTTGGCGAGCCCCAAATCCTGAAAACCATCTGGAACAGCGCCCCTAGAGGCCTTCCCTGATCGATGGCCTCTAAGATTGCCCCAATGGGGCCCCCAAGAGAACCCCAACAGAGCCCCAAGAGGGCCCCCAAAGAGCCTACAAGGTCTCCAAACTATCACAAGGAGGGCTCAAGATTACACGGATGGTTTGAGCTGGGATCGTTAAAGAAATGATGAGGAAATCGGCCGGAACCCGGGAACCCGGAATCCACCGAAATCGGCCGGAACCAATAACCCGGAACTGGGAACCCGGAACTGGGAACCCAGGAACCCAGCCGGCTACCAACATCGGCGGGAAACTGTCGCCAAATCGTCTAATATCTACTAGGACCCCTTCAGTGCAAGCACTGATACCAACATGCTTCAATGCCGACAACATCAAGAAGATATTGTCTCGGGTTTGCTTGGGCTGCTCCTGATATTCGATTTGACGTCTCTACTCCATCTTCATTCCCGTGCTTACTCCTACACTTCCCTGATCAAGGCAACTCGTCTAGGCATCTTTTCTGGATGGGCTGGTGGGAATACCTTTTTGGTTCGCGGCTCCAAGGCGAGAGACAAGGAACGAGCACAACGTCCGGGGCGCGGTACGTAGAGTATTAACTAGAACAGGCAACGCACCTGCAGTATATACATGCACATGCCAGGAACAAAATGCCCCTCATTGAGACGCATCTTAGCGTCGACTGGTGGTAACTGGGCGCGGGAAGAGTGCGAGGAGTCGCCGAAACGGCGCCAGCTCAAGCAACCCGCAAGTAGGACAGGGAACCACTAAACTGACATCCGGTACCCTCGAGACCGGGGGAGCCGTGCAGGACGGACATGAACCGGCCAAGTGAGAGCAACCTGAGTCCAGAACCCGCTGTTGGCGGTGAGTTGTCACTGAATCCACGTCTGACCACCGATGCCAGTGGACAGAGCACCATTGGGAACGCTCTCGAGCCGTACAACCACCACCTGGGGGGGGGCCTGCGCGCTGACACCGTCTCCGAACAACGCGGTTCGAGAGCGTAACGGTGCCGTCACACTGCCACGGGGCTGGTAGCTGAGGCTGCGCCGAGGTCTAGCGGGACGAAGTCGGATTGCTGTAGGCTGCACCACACAGCGCAGAACCGTCCACACCGGCCATGGTGAACGACTGGGACTGCTGTACCCAGTCCACGCCAGCCCCGCGGCATAAGCTGGGGCCAAAGTGGGGCCGTCGACGCAACCGAACTCCGAGAGCTGGCCGATGCTGCGCCCGCGGTGAGAACGGGGGCCAGCGGGGGCCAGTGACTGCTCCGTATGCTGGTGGCAATGCTGAGAGGGGGGCCAGAAGCGTCCTCGTGTTCGCCACCAAGGGCTGTCCGACTGCGGCGGCGGCGAGGCCCCCGCACCTGGGCGGGACCGAGAACTGCCGAGTACGCGCTGCTGTGGACAGCCCGAAACATACGGAGACAGAACAGGAGGAGGAGGAGGAGGAGGAGGAGGAGGAGGAGGGGAGAGGCAGCCAAACGCCGCCAGAACGAAGACACGGAGGAGGAGGGGGGGCGGCCGGCGGCCGGGGCGCCGCCCGCGGAGACCTCCCTCCACTTGACGAGCGACGCCCACCAGGCTTGAACTGGGGGGGGCTGTCTGGATGGAAGCGGTCACCAGCCACGATCTCTGCATCTCGCGGTGGGGGGGGCGCAACCAAAAGCCGCTGTGCACATATCTGATCGGGAGGAGGAGGAGGATGAATGGAGGTGCAGCCAAAAGCCGCCGTCACGATTGCATTCACCAGCCACGAACGTCTGCATCTCGCGGCGGGGGGGGGGTGCAGCCAAAAGCCGCTGAACACATATCTGATCGGGAGGAGGAGGAGGAAAGGAAAGGAGGTGCAGCCAAAAGCCGCCGTCACACTTGTATCGACAGAGGAGGAGGGGGGGACAGTCGTCAGACGCGGTGCGGTCTGCTCAGAATCAGCTCTTCCCTCGTCTCCTGGCGGCCTCTGTGGTGAGAGGCCCGCCGCTGCGGGGGGGGTCCAGCCGCCTGTCCCCTTGGTGGGTGGACAGCGCCGTCCGACTAGGGTGCCCCTTCAGGATGCAAGCCACAGGTGAACCCGCGGGACACGCAAACCGCCCACAGCGCAGTCCCGGACAGGTGCCCAGTGACGGCCAAGACGCGGCGAGCACGGGGGGAGGCGATGAAAGGCCCTAGGCAGCAGGACGGGGATGCGAGGGGGCCTTGACCCCCCGCGGGAGGCCCCGGGCCAGAGGGAGGCATCCCAAACGCAGGCCACAACTTGCAGGGCGGCAATGGGTCAGCTGCCAGTGGCCAACCTCCACGCACCAGTCCCCCGCGCGTGCGGTGCCAAGAGGGGGGGCGGCAAGGCAACTGCGAGGAGACGGCCCGCCCCTGTGTTTTGCGTTTCTTGGGGGCCTGGTTGTTCGGGTGGCCCTTCGCCGCGTGGTGATCACTGCTCACTCCGCCGCTTCGACCCAGGTGCAGCTGCCACAGCCGAATCCAGTCGACGTCCAGGTCCAGCGCGTCACTGACGGCCCGTACGTCGCACTTGTGGCTGCGGAAGGTTTCCAAGAAGAGGTGGCAGGTTTGCGGGTCGCGCCGAAGCGGGTCGAGCGCGCCCTTGCTGCTGGGCACAGACTGCCACTTGGCGAAGGCGTGCCAGGTGCCAGTGAACATGGTTCCCAGCGCGACTTGGAGCCGTCTTATCGCCTCGGCGGGTGTCTCCCCGGGGAGGTCCCACTGGATGTTGTTGATTCCTGTTTTGTACAGCTGCTGCCCCGTGTCGGGATCCTTGGGCTCTGGCCATTGGCGCGGGTCGGGCCCTTGGTGCCGCCGTGCATCCTGGTCGCACGTCTCCAACGTACCGGCCTCGTTGACCTGGCCGGAGGGCTCGCGATATGTCCGCGACAGCTCCGGCTCCACGCCTGGCGGGGTTCTGCGGGAAAAAGCAAGCCGCGCGGTTGGCCGCCGGGCGGGGGTCGGATCGCATCCGGCGGCCAGGGCGGACGCTGCCTTGTGGCACGTGGGGAAGGGCCCCTTTCGCTGGTGTTCGCCTTCGGGCATGTGCTCGCCGTCGCTCCCAGGTGCATCCGCCGGGGCATCGACCCGTTTCAAGTTCCAGAATCACCCTGGAACGGTTCCGGGGTGAAAATTGAAACCTGAAGCGGGCGATTTTCCATCTGGGCGCTCTCGGGAGCCTTGCGGGCGCATCTTGGATATGGGGATGGGATGTTCCCGAGCTCCCAAA